AGAAATTAAGCCCAACAAGTATCAAAAAATAAATTAAATTTTCTCATGCAGGTTAACATTGTAACTTCTCATGCCTTAAAATTTTGTTGGAGATTTTAAGTACTGAATAATCTATCTAGACAAGCTGTGTACTATTGTTAATCTCAAATGACCTTTGGATGCTCAAAATTCTAGGGAATTTTGGCAGATTTAAACCTATGGTTAGAAATCTCTCAAATAATCTGACAAATGGTGACTGTATGGATAAAAAAATAGGCCGTTTTAACAAAGTAATCGCAATCTAGTACAATCAATTAAGAGACAAATGAGAGACTGTACTAAGCCTCTTTCGTACATGCGGTCATTCGAAGGGCAAAAGCTTAGCAATTTATTTACCAGAATCTAGTGAAACTGCCTCGGAAACAGCTTTCACGAAAATAATCCACAAAAAGCCAACCGGTTGATGATTTTTTCTGGAGAGAATTCGCTTTCTCATCACTTAATTAAACATAACAGACACACAAATACTATCGCTCTAAATATAAGGGAAATCAAAAATGATAAGCCAAGATATTCCTCTGGACCAACGCCCAAAATGTAATGATATGATTCCATGATTGGCGAAATCGACTGCTCTGTTAGAATATTTGTGCTATATTCAAAATATTTCGTTTAATAAAAAATAAAATGGAAATGTCATGCCTGCTCATTGTATTGTGGGAAAATTCAACTACTATTACTTCATAATCTTAAACGAAATAGAGTGAGTACAACTGGCTGTGTTGAAAAACTAATCAAAAACGAAACTTTATCATTGAACATTATACAAGTCTCAGCGGCGGTTAGAACATGATTTTCTTTCTCTAATTACATTCCAAATGCAACTTGATTTTATGCGTATTTTGAAATAGAACTGTTGGGTGTCGTGTGTGAAATAATAATGCTTATTCTAAGCGAAACTAGGTCTCGAGACTATACCTTATTCCTAAGTAAGAATAAAGTCTGCAGAGGTTGCTTAAGGTAGTTTAAGGACGGTAAATTGGGTTTAACCAAACAAATGAATTAGTAGTCCTCAGGATGTCGATGTTACAAGTGGTTGAGTAGCGACATGAAAGCACCGCCACAACACGTATTTAGGGGTGCTGATAAGATGGCAAAACAAGTCAGAAACTGTAGTGCAGTCTATTTCAATTCATTCGGGATGAAATAGCCTTTTGGGACAGATAGAATGCAATGAATCCTAAGGTCTATGCATTCGATTGTAAAATATGACTTATCTATCAGTATTTAAATAACCCTAACTA